ACCTATACAAATTAAATTATTCATTTTTTATCGCACCTAAGGTGATATAATGAGAGTTATTTGGGTGATATATTCGCTAAAAACGACGTCCGATATATTTATATATTTTGTACTCATATGCTATGATCGTGATTGCCGTTGAGCGAGTAGGTACTGCTGCCGCGCTTCGTCGCAACAGCCGCCGCCGCCACCGCCGAAACTGAAGAAAAGTTACGATTAGATGATTGAGTTCCTGGTACTTCTGGCACCTTGTTTTTAGATTTTACATTTTAGTTCGTATGTTTTATACTCTTACAACCTCCCACTTTTACAACCTCCCAGACCAACAATATTATTGAAATTAAGTATTTATGTCACGAATCACGATGCGTGGCTAGCCGGGAAAAAACGTTCCTGACGAAATACTATAATATTTATTGAACTGCAGTTATTTTAGCCAAAACAGCCAATTTTTATTCCATCATACTGATCGATCTAGTAATGCGATAATACTTTTAAAAACAGATATGAATTCGTTATTATGTCTACTTGAGATGGGTCAATCCACTTTTCACAATTTCACCCCCCAAACTTCTAAAAATGTAGCTTGAATATTTTGAAATTTCGGAATTTCCAAACGTTGATTATTCGGGAATTATTCGGAATTTAAAGCAGAAATCTTAAAATGTGGACTGACTGTCTCAAATGGATATTCTAACGAATTCAGATCAGTTGTCAGAAAGATTGGTTGGATTAGTTGGACAAAAAACGGGAGCGATAAGTTATAGTGACGGTCCTCGATAGATTGATTATAATTTATAATTTATAAATATTTTGCGTATATTGATAATATAATAAAATTATTGATAATATATAAAATATAAAATATTTTGACTGTTCACGAGCTGTTTCAGACATTTTCAGTTTAAATTTTTTAAATTTTTTTTCTATAATTGTCAATAAATTTTATTTGTTGGGTCAAAAAGTGTGAAAATTTAATGCGAAGGTCCTGATATATTGTTACTATAGCAGTTGAAAAATAATTAAAAACATCTGGCACAATTTTTTTTACAAAATTTCAAATTTATCATTTTAAAACTTAAAAAATGATTTTGTAATTAAAATGTAGAAAATGTTCAATTTGTATAGCTAAGCATTGAAAATTTAAAACAAGGTTCCACGTTAGTAAATTATTCTGTAACCAAAAAATTTAAAAAAAAAATAAGAACACAGTTTTTTTTATAGTTATGTTATTTTCTAATTTGGACGAAATTACATATTAACAGGGGCGACAGTCTATTTTTGGCCCGGGGTGCAAAATTAATTAGGGGCCCGTAATTATTTTTCAAACCTACCTAAATTAGGAAAGAGTCCTTTTTTATAAGTAATTATAAAAAAAAAAATTAAGAATAACATGTTATTTATTTGTAGAGATGTTAAAAGATGGTATTTTATTTTTGTTTTGTATAATACCGTATTATACCAGTATTATACCGTGTAGAATCTTGCAGTACCTTAAATTATAGAAAATTTAACAAAGGGGAAAATAGATTAATTGAAAAAATGGCTAGAAGGTCAGAAAACATTTAAAAAACACATAATGCAAGAATTATTTTAGACCTAATTCACCAAATTAATATTTAGTAATGCTACCATGATGTAAGTACCATATGTCCATATACCTAGTGACTTAAATTTAAAATATTTTAATTACAATTCACATTTCATAGAAAATTATATTCTGAAAATATCAAATTAACTTCAAAATAAATTAGGATTTGAGTAACCTTATGATCTGCCAACTAGCATATAAATATAGGTATTTACTAACTTTTTGGTTCCACATTTTTAGATTCTGAGTGAAACGATGAATGTATTGATTTTACAATGATGTGTGTTTTTTTATTTTTTTATTTTTATTTTTTTTGTATCTGTGTACACGATAAGTAGTCGAAATAATGCTTCGATTTTCGACTTCAGTATCTTGTTCGATTGGAAAGTGAATATCGTTGGTGCATTGGGGAGGTCAAAATTTAAATTTCCCAGTAGTTTTCACAAGCGCCGGGAAAAACAACATAAAAATTAAGGAAAAACGGGAATTTTTACGCAAAATTGATTTTCCAAAAAATCGATTTTGGTTATTGGTGTAACTCTAAAACAAATGAACGTATATACATGAAATTTTCACTGGTTGTTTATATTTGCATTTTCATACACGATAACATTTTCAAAATATTTTGATTTATTTTGAACTGTTTAGGGACATTTTCATTTTCCATTTTTTTTTAGTTTTTTTTCTAAAAATATCAATAAAACTTTGTTTGTTGAGTAGAAATACTTGAAAACTTAATGCAAGGTTCCTACTAAATTGTTACAAAGGCAGATGAAAAATATTAAAAATCGTTAGTCACAGTTTTTTTTTATAAGCATTTAAAGTTCAAAAATTGACAAAATATGGAAAAATCACAAAAAATAGCAAATTATTTTGAGTTAAGAATTCGTAAAAATTTTTCTTTTTCAATCTAAGATTTGAAAATGTAATACAAGATTACTCATAAGTTTGTCTACCTTTATCAATAAAAAAATCTCTACCGGACAGTCAAATTAAATTTTTATGAGCGTTTGAAATTCAAATTTTTACAACATTGGATGTTCACTCGATTTCTCATGTAGCGATTTCCTTATTTTGTTGTTATTCATAAACGAATAACTATAGATACATGAAAATTTCACTGAATGTTTATATTAGCATTTCCTATACACCATACAATTTTGAAAATATTTTGACTCTTTTTGAGCTGTTTACGGATATTTTCATTTTTCAATTTTTTTAGTTTTTTTTTCTATGAATATCAATAAAGTTTTATCTGTTGGGCCAAAAAGGGTAAACATTTAATACAAGGCTCCTGATATATTGTTACAATATCAGTTGAAAAATATTAAAAATACATAGTCACAATTTTTTTTTATAAGCATTTAAACATCGAATTTTGACAGAATTTTTCAAAATCTGGAAAATTATTTTATTAAATAAAAATATTAAAATATTAAATTATTTAATTATCATCGTAATTAATAAATTATAAAATGTTCAGTTTTTATAGCTAATTGAAAATTTAAAACAAGATTCCGCGTAAGTAATTAATTCTCTTACCGAAAAATCTAAAAAATATACAATCACAGTTTATTTTTATAGTCATTTTATGTTCAAATTTGGACGAAATTACATATTAAAGCCTTTAATTAAACCTAACCTAGTTATTTTGTTGTGATTATATAATATTATTCGTGGGTACCTACTTGAAACTTCTAAAGTGTACTATTATATATCTATGATAGTATCATGGTTTGTTTTTGATGTTGATGTATAACGTTTTATAAGTACCTAATGGATATTGTGATAATGTGATATGATTAATTTGGAATTTATTATAGGTCAATTTTTTTTTTTAATACCATAGATATGTATATAATTTGTCTTAAACCTAGACTGACATACCGTCTTCGCTCAGAATCGTTTTTCTTATACAATCTTATTTTGTTGTTATTCATAAACGAATAACTATAGATACATGAAAATTTCACTGAATGTTTATATTAGCATTTCCTATACACCATACAATTTTGAAAATATTTTGACTCTTTTTGAGCTGTTTACGGATATTTTCATTTTTCAATTTTTTTAGTTTTTTTTTCTATGAATATCAATAAAGTTTTATCTGTTGGGCCAAAAAGGGTAAACATTTAATACAAGGCTCCTGATATATTGTTACAATATCAGTTGAAAAATATTAAAAATACATAGGCACAATTTTTTTTTTATAAGCATTTTAACATTGAATTTTGACAGAATTTTTCAAAATCTCGAAAATTATTAATCATCGTAATTAATAAATTATAAAATGTTCAGTTTTTATAGCTAAGGATTGAAAATTTAAAACAAGATTCCACGTAAGTAGTTAATTCTCTTACCGAAAAATCTAAAAAATATACAATCACAGTTTATTTTTATAGTCATTTTATGTTCAAATTTGGACGAAATTACATATTAAAAAACCTAGTTATTTTGTTGTGATTATATAATATTATTCGTGGGTACCTACTTGAAACTTCTAAAGTGTACTATTATATTATATAAATGATAGTATCAGGGTTTGTTGTTGGTGTATAACGTGTTATAAGTACCTAATGGATATTGTGATAATGTGATATGATTAATTTGGAATTTATTATAGGTCAATTTTTTTTAATACCATAGATATATATATAATTTGTCTTACAACCTAGACTGACATACCGTCTTCGCTCAGAATCGTTTTTCTTATACAATGATATTGTATCATTGAATTCAAATTTAATAGCATCAATTATACAGTGACCCACTTGTAACCTACTGTACAGCAGAGCGACATCCACTTACCCACCTTTTTTTTCTTGTATGTACCAAGTACTTATATTTAAGGTAAGAGATTTAGTAAACAAAGCAATTTAGTAATAACATTATATTAACTAAATTATTTAATCTTTAAAAAGTTTAAGTAAACATAGGTATTAGGGTATCTACTTTTTTCAAAAATTTTTAATTTTTAAATAGAAATAATATATAGAAAACTATACTTAATACTTATATAGTTATATACTTTTTTATTGTACCTAAATTTACAATATTATTATATTACAATAAATTGATTTAAGTCATTTTTAATACCTTAATACTAAATAAATATGAATACAATTATAGTTTATATTTTAAATTTTTATAATTATACTGTATTTTATTGAAGATCTATTCTATAAGTACTACTAAAAAATTAATATTTGAGTTACTAAAACTATATAGATATTAAATGGCAATAAGCCAATAATTTGATTGCAGTATGCTTATTACTTCATTGTTTGCATATCAAAATGGATAATACCTACTTAATTAATTATCTTTAATTGTGGTTATAACTAAAAATAAAGCCTTATTTTTTTTTATACCATGTGTATAATACCTCGTATATATGTATAATACAGTTTTATACCACTGTAGAATACAAAATCACAAAAAACTCGTAAAAATGCTGAATAGCTAAATTATATGATATCCAATGATGTTTTATTGTTACTATTTCTGTTTTATCATGGTTAAAATTGTGAAATTGTCTGTTGTATACTCTAAATGCGTCAAATGGTAGTTTATGTGTATTAGTGGATGGTTGAATTGGATGATTTCTTAAAAATGCTAGTTTATATTGAATAGTATTAGTATTTGATGGAGCTATAAAAAGACTACCAGCCGATAATGAACTATTTTTATCATTATTTGGTTCCCTTTGGTTACTATCTAAAATGCTGACTTGTGTGGGTGAAGAAAGTAGGTTCATATTTACTGGAGTAATTAATTTTGTAGAGTTTGCAGTAGAACTTGTTATTTTTCCAGGAGATATATCCTGAGTTACACTATTTGTAGAAGGTTTCTTCATAAGCGAATTTAAAGGAGAGGAGTTTAAAATTGAAACTGCTGTAGTGGATCCTGTTAATATTTTAGACTCTGTATTACAAATGAGTTACTTTTTGAATTGAGATCTAACGTAGTAGTATGTAGTAATAATGTTGATGAAGGTTCCGTTTCAGCACTTGGGTGCGATTTTGAAGATGACTCAGAAGTAATTAAGTTAGTAGTTGGAGAAGTAGAAACATTGTGTGGTTTTTTTACTGTTAGGTTAAAATTCAGTTTGCACTGCTTAGGATTATTTTTTACTTTTTCAAGCTCTATTTATTCACGCATTTTTCTTTTTGTTCTACCACTATTATGTTTGTATGATGATTTTTTTTTGGCTTCCATATCAAATTTGTAACAAAACTAATAAAAAAAAATTATATTAGTTATTATGTTTTGGCTATTCTAACCTCAAATAAAATTAAGTTAAGTTAAATTAAGTTGATTAAATTAAATTAAGTATAATAATGGCCAATATAAAACAGTTTTTTTTCACAAGTTTTAAATGTTTTTGAAAACCCGGTACAATCATAATAGTAGATCACATATTTTAGAAAGAATAATTTGATTTAATATTTCATAAAATTATCTTTAGTTTTTTTTTTTTTATATGGTACTATGGTAGTGTATTTAAGTATTCATATAACATATCAGTTATTCAGTTATCAGTAAGTTTCAAAAAACGATCAAATAGTTGAAGTCAACAAAATTATTAAAAATGTAAATGGCAAATACATCACTCCATTAAATTGTTGTATTATGTATCAAAATTCCATTTCATTTATTTAATTAGATTGTTTTATATTAACAACAATAATTTATTATAATTATTTTAAATTAACTGACTTGCACTGTTTAAAAAATAAGTGTCTATAATCTATATATACCAACAGATAGCAAATCCATTGCTATAGCCTATGGCTCTGCTTTATGAAATATACAAAAGTATATACCTACCCTATTTCTATTATATAAGTTATAAGCAAAAATAGGTAACTTACTATTCCTATGTTTGTCTTAAGTTGTTAACCAATTAATAATGGATTTGTTTTCATTATAATATATAATTTATAGCTAATAAATAATAATTAATAATTATTGATTTTTGTACCAAGTTAAAACTTTGATAATATTAATAAAGAATTCAGTTTTGACAAAAATTGAAATTAATACTTATTTTATTTTGGTTATGTATGAACCTGTATAATTTTAGTTTAATAACCAAATATATTACATAACAAACTGACAAATAAAGTTGTTTGGATTAATTGGTAATAATTATTAGTACCAATGTAGGTACACTAGGTCGGTGGCCAGTAGGTGGCCAGTTTTATAGACAGTATGTTTATAAATTTGTACTTTATATAAGTATATAACAAACTATTAACTACAAAGTATATATTTTCGTCCACATAATATTATTGTGCAGGATTAAAACTGCGAGCGAATTGACCTACTTTGCTTTGCATATTATTGTGCAGGTCCATAATATATTGGATATTTGAGTATAATGCGACCGGTAAAACCAAATCCGTGTAACCCTTAAAAAAATTTCCACGGTACATTGTCTTCGTCCATCGATTTATATTGTTACTGTCCGAAACCCATCGAGGTTCAGTTGTTTTCTTTGACGTTCATTATGCGAGTGTCGTGACTCGTGATGATAATTAAATGTAGAATTTTTTCAATACAGCCAAACATTGCCGGAGCCATAACTAAGCAAATGATAATTGATTATTATCGTTGATATGATACAAAATGTCAATCTTCAATGCAAAGTAAGTTGAGAATTGAATAAGGAAAACATCCGAATTTTATTTTAAATTTATATAGTTACAGCATTATTGCTTGGAATTTCAATTGTTTTTCTCAAGTTACGGAATCGTGTTAATATTTTCTAAACTTTTATGTTTTTTTATTATTATTTGGAAAGTTCACTATTTTTCTACGTTAAATACGTTGAGATAACGATGACATACCGTATTTATGTAATATTTCATACTTTTGTATAGATACTTAGTCCACTACTTACCTGTGTTATTATTTGTAGGTTACCATTGAATTTTGTTCTCATAGTTAATTGATAAAATTTATCTCCGAGGTTTTTCTTAGTAAATGCTAAATAGAATTTGTATACTCTATATATATTTCTAGGAAATAATATAAATACAAAGTAATTTATATTCCTGTAATAAGTTATTAAAACATTTTTATTATGGTTCTATTGCATTCCTCGTCGAACAGACTATAAAGATAGGTAATATATATTTTATATCAAATCAATAATAGAATAGCAAATAATAAAGATTTAAGAAATTAATGAAAAATACAAACTTGCATCATTATTCTCAAAACTAATTTATTGGTTTTCATAGCACTTTTTCTCATCAGGACAGTATTACTATATAATAATATTATTATAAGTACTTTATAACTGTATACAATGTTTGGATATATAAGCAGGTGCGTCCCTACATTAAAATAGCAGACATTTCTCGAAGTAAAATAAATTAAGTTACTAATAGTTAGTGGAACTGCAATATAAAAATATTAAAAGGCTATCAGGCCACCGTTAGTATTTTTCTCTCTCTGACGTAACATAGCGAAGTTTGCGTTGGGTAGAAGTGTTGAACCAACTTTGTGTTGTAACTTGTTAGAGCTTTATCTTTTATTAAAGTGCATTGACCTTTTATCAAATTTAAAGTTAAGTTGACGTTACAGTGACATTTGTTGTCTCCGTCTTACAAGTGCGTAACATAGCAAATTTTACGCTCAGAAAAACAAGGTTATCTCCCGTTAGTTTAAAAATTAGAGCGAATTGACCTCTTATGAAATTTAAAGGTAAGATTATTATCTAGACAATGACACAGACCTTTTTATTATATTTAAATTTTAATGTGAGTTATGAATGTTTTAAGATGTACATACAGTTTACGATGTTAAAATACACATAACTCGCTTTAAAATTAAATTACAATGAAAAGACTATATCATTGTCTAGACCTTACCTTTAAATTTTATAAAAGGTCAATTAGCTTTAATTTTTAAACTAAGGGGAGATAAACGTGTTTTTCTGAGCGTAAAATTTGCTACGTTACGCACTTGAAAGACAGAGAAAACAAATGTAACTGTAACGGCCCCTTAAGAATATTACCTACTTGTGTTAGTACATGAAGTGCTCTTTATTTCAATTTTAAATCGAGATATGAATATTTTTAAATTGTAATATTTTACTCATGTAGTACATATATTATGTACACACAGACGCAACTAGATCCAAAACAACCGAAATACAACGTACGAAATATTCAGATAATGTTCTTAACTTTAAACTTGATAATAGGCCAATTCGGTCTAACAATATAAAGCCAACAATACAAAGTTAGTTCTGCTGAACGCGAATTGTCTATGTCGGGTCAAAGATAGAAAACCAATAGCGTGCTGACATCCTATCCAAAATGTTTTTGAAAAATAATAATTTTCATGCTATGAAAAAATGACCCTTTCGTCTGTTGCCAATTAAGGATTTATATATATATTACATGCCTACAAAGTACACACATAATACAATAAATAAAGTAGTGTTGTAGCAGAATATCTGAAAGGAGGAGCTCAATGAAAAACCTTAAAAAATTAAATATATACCGAGTACTTACACTTAGATTTCACTAACTTCTATACTTATAATATGACCAAATATATAATATTAAATACATCCTACACTCCAACTGAAATAAATAAAACTTTAAACAACTTTTAATTTATATATAAATTTGTTACAAGCATTTTAAGGTTCTTATAAATTATAATCCAAAACTTTCAGTTTCCTAGGAGATTTTTGTATAAAAACAGTCAATATTTGTTTTTCTAAATTATTGTCATATTTGGCAAAAATACTCCAAAAGGCAAAAAGTCCCCTCCCCCCACTACACCACTGATATAAAGAAGCTAATGTATTTATGATAAATATCGTAAAATATTTAGATATGTATATATTAACCCATACATATTAATAAATCCTTAACTAGTATATTATTTTTCTTTATTCTTTATGAAATAGATAGTGGTAAATAATAGTAAATACCTAAAATACCTGTGTTTATGGATTGTTTTATATTTTATATACATACTAGCTGATCCTACGCCCTTCGGTGCCCATAAAAAATGATAACTCTTAAAAATATTGTGATTGTTCAACTTCTTTTGGGTATAACTCGCTGCAGCACACACACAACATTTCATCATAATCGGTGCAGCCGTTTAGTAGGAGTTTGAATACTTACACACGGACAGAAAAATTATATATTTAGATTACATTATGTAAATTAAATTGTACATTCGTTTAAAAAATCTGAAGAACTCTTGTCAATGACATCGATGTGGTGTACACTGTATTATGAGTGTAATACTTTAGCTTGATATGCAATAATATTTTAATATTATGTATTTATGTACAATGTGCATATACCTACTATTGTGTCGTACAAAAGTGATTTGTTCTATAAGAAAAATACTTGACTGTAGTGCATTTTTCTTTTAATTTAACTAACTCAATTCAAACTATACTCAAAAGAATAAGTACCTTGTTTTCCAACTTTGAACGCCAGTGACCAAACATATAAATTGTGTTCTCCACTTGTGTAGGCCGTATAGGGTGACATTCGTGCAGTGTAACATTTATCATTTTCAATTAAATAATAATAACCTAATGGATTATTGGGCCTTTTGTGGAGGGCATTCGCTACACCCGGCCAGCTGAAACTCTGTTTGTGTACTGTACTTTGACGTAATGTATTATTTTATTAACTATGGTTATTTATACTGCCTAATATTATTTACTACCATCAGTTTTGGTGGTTAATCAAATTCGTCATTCGTCAATATATCAATTTTTGTCAATACTTTAAATGAAAAAGAAGCAAATTTTATGGAAGTATGATTTATATCTATTCTACAATAAAAAATAATTAATATTATTCTACTTCTTCTATGTACCTACCTATTGTACAGGATAAGATAAATTTTAATTTTCTTTAGAACCTAGATAACATCCTGCAAGTACCACAGCGCTACAGGCGCTACAGCGGTAAATTTTAGATTCTGAGGATTTGGTGTACCTAACTCTAAAATAAATTACCGTAGATACGTGAAATTTTCAATAAATGTTAATACAAGGTTTCTCGTAAGTTGTTCTTAGTGGAAATTAAAAAACAAGTTGAGCGTAAATCCTTAATAATTTTTTATGTGAGTGGCTGGTCTGAAGTTCGAATTTTGTCTCAATTCGTAAAAATCATAAAAATTTGTTACTATTTTGAGTTAGAAATTCATAAAAAATTTTCTTTTTATGTCTAAGATTTGAGAACCCCGTGTTGGACCTCTTATTTAACTGATATGTATTATATTAAAAGTTTACAAATTATTTTGCAGTTAAAAATTTATAAAATGTTCAATTTTTGTAGCTAAGGATTAAAAATGTAAAACAAGGTTAAATGAAGTAATTCAAACTGTAAGCAAAAAATCTAAAAAAAATATAACACAGTATTTTGTATAGTTATTACAAGTTCAAGGACAATTAGATATATTTTAAGCAAAGAAGAACGATTTCAGTTTTGTGTTATAATTTAAAAATATTATTCGTGGGGTACCTACTTGAAACTTTTAAAGTACCTATACGGCTATATACTATTATATACAAATAATATTAATTAAACTTACCGGCTACCGTAGTTATTAATAATAATAATATAAGTATAATATAAAATATCCTTGGCTGACAAGCCGTCTTCGCCCAGAATCGTTTTTCGTATACAATAATATTGTATCATTGACTTCAAATTGAACTCCATCCATTACTATTTGAATTAACTAAAGTATTAATATGTAATTATATACTACCTACAATTATCAATTTTATAATAAAAGACAATAGACATAACTAATAACATTATCTAGACGAAAAAAAGTAATAGGTATAACCACAATTATTTATATCTAGTGGGAGGTAATTTCGTCAACTATTGTATAAGTAACACATTTGTTTAGACTTAACTGTAAAATTAGAGTATCATTTAATAGTCACTGAAGTGACTTGACTTCCTATACAATTTAAAGTTTTTTTTTTTATTGAGTAAAAAGATAATCTACAATCTATACATCGATATGCACATTAATGAGATGAGATAACAGAATACAAAAACAAATAACAAATAACAATGAATAATATGATTTTGGGGAGTTACCCAGTGGTAACACCCAGCGCGTTAATTTAAAGTTAAGATTATTATCTAAGCAATATCATAGGGTTTTATATTATATTTTAATTTTAAAGAGAATTGTGGGCATATTTATTATTTTATAATGTACAATTATATTTTATATATAAGTATTTGCGTTGTGGATTTTGGATTCTATTCAATAGTACAGTTACGTATAGCTTTGGGGATTTTTTTTCCTGAGGATTTTTTTTCCGATTACCATACTATATCTACGGTTTCTATACATTAAATACATTGTATAGTACAGGAAAAATATTATATTATTATTATAACATCGAATCGTATTGTTTAATATTACATTGTGTGTGCAATAATAACGAAATATAAACATTTTAGGCAGTACAACAGACAGTAATTACTGTGCAATAGATAATAATGTTATAACGCGTATAAGCCACAGATCGACGACTAGTGACTATACCTAATACCCATATTATGGTATAATATTGTACTTATACGTCGTAATACGTAGTAAGACTGTGGACTTTGTGTTGCAGGTTTTTGTGTCAATCGCTGAAGGAGAAAGTCAATTGTTATACGCTGTTCGTTTCGCAGTACGGCTTCAGCGTTTCGCCGAAAACCATGATTCCGTTCACGGAAGATTCCTGTATCCTTTGTATTTGCTTTGGGATGTGGGATAACAATATCATAATAAAATCAGTGCCGTGTGCCGTTTCCGGGGAAAATAATTCACATAGTACAATATATAATATACTCTGTGCACTATAATAATACCTACATTATGCTGTACATGCATTAATGCATTATAAGTATCACCACGTTTGTGCATTATCGCCAGGGCTGTGCTTTTAGGATTACGTGGCTTTCTTAACGCAAAAAGGAAATAATTTCAATATTAGGGGTAGGTACCAATGAATTCAATTTTGAACCTTTTATTTTGCATTTTTCCACATTTTAAGACATTGTTTAATTGTTAGGTCTTTTTTAGCCTTTATGTGTTCATTTTTCATTTCTTCAATGATTTTTTTCAACAATTTCCATTAGGTAATTAAAACTTTTTACACGTATTTTAGGAATTATTTTTTAATTTTCATCTTGTGCATTTTCGAAAACAAATAAAAATAGTTAAAAATACAATTATTCTATTTAATTCAACTTGTTAGATTTGTATACGTAATATATTTTGATTTTTAATGCATTTTTTAATTTTAGTTCATTTTTAGTGCACTTTGTATTGCATTTTTAAGGTTTTTACTGATTTTAAAACAACAGCACTAATTATTGATACATCAAGTGCATCGTCACCACTTTGGCAATTGGTTTTTTTTCTTTTCAGCCATATAAGGTAGGTAATAAAATGATTGCCAAGTTAGCGAATAAAATACAAAATGAATATGAAAGCTCTTCCAAATACCTAGTTGATCAATGTGTGGTTAAGGAGGAGTTATCTGTATAAATATTATAGCTCTATTTAAAAATGTAAATTGTTCAAGTATGTACTATGTAAATTTCTGCACATATCAGGGTAGAACAACAAAACCATCTATATTATTACAAAATATGTTATGTATATGCGGGTGGATTGGTAAAAAATGTAATTGTATATTTGTATGATATTATATCATACTCTTACATTTCAGAGCAATTTTTTTCTACTCGATTCTGTATTTCTCTATGAATTTCTAAAAAATACTTTAAAAATAAAACGTTTGACAACTAAATAATAAATAAAAATTAATGGAAAATGTCTAAAAATAATAATTACCTTAGCATATTCAGTAGCTTGTAATACATTGACAGCTAGATGCTTTTAGTCTAGACTGGGTAACCAACATTAACACTATTGGCTGTTTCTTTAGTTATACATTATTTATTATACCTACTTACTAGTTTTTTGGTAAGTACTTTTTGTTTATTTTAAATGAAAGTAACATTATGTATTTTAAAAAATAAGGACTAATGTTATGATACACCATACACCAAACATTAATATACATATATTTTATTAATTATTATATTTATAAATTACTTGTACGAAATGTGTAAGTACAACCAAAATAACCAAATAAGTTTTGTGAAGAAGTAACACAAACTTTAGCTATACATTTATACAAAACCATGTTTAACCAATGATTTTGATATTTTGAATTAGGTAGGTACCTAATAACTTTATTTTTATCAACTGGATAAAACATAATGTACCATAATATACCATATGATACACTACACGTATCTGATGGAACCCATACATTTCATAAAATCTGAAAGTTAAAATTAAAATAATTTTAAAATATTAACATCTCATAGAAAAAAACCAAATTGTATACATATTATTTGAGTAATCGTCTTTTAAATTGAATTCTATATAGATAAATTTAATAAGTTACATAATATTACAAGATTTTCAACAGTACCAAGGTACTACCTACCTACATTTCGAACTAATTTAAAATAAACTGGCAATATAATATTACACCTCTCACCTCTGAAATTCATATTTTGAATAATGCCACATTTAAAATCAAAAAATATTATAATTTAATATGCATGAATGTATGTTTTAATTATAATAATTTTTTTTTATTACTTGATATTATGCAACGAACCATAATCAAAATGCTGTAATATTATTCATAGTTATATTATTGTAATAGATAGTAAAGTTCTTATTATAAAATCACGCTAAAAAAATAATTGGAACTTACCAAACTACTGGAAGTTAATATCTACGTATATAACGGATAGTCTCATTAGAGTACCCATGTGAAAAGGGTGAAAAGAGCTGAATAAATTTCCTTCCCTGACATTTCAGAAAAATGTAAAACTGCTTTCAGTGTTCTGTGAACGTATTATGCGTATAATATGTGACTGTGTATTAAAATTGAATTGTAGTTTGTATGAACCATGAAGACAGTGGTGCATTTAGGAGTGGGCGAAAGGGGAAAATTCCCCTAGTGGCCAATTTTTAGGGCTTCAAAAAAACTATAGATTTTGCTTTTGATGTGTTACATGATTTTTTTGATTTTTGATTTTTAAACCTTTTTCAATATTGGTATTGGTATATATATATTTACAATACAAACTTTCTATTTTAAAAAATATTGTTTTAAGCATCTAATTAGTAATTAGAGATTACAAATGTATTTTATACCTAGACAATAGGTATATTATATTAACATAATATGTTATATTATACCATGGTATATTATACCAAACAATAAGGTATAATATTTTTGTTCGGTGTTCATAATAATTAATAACTTTTATCTGTAGTGCTTCGAATTTGACGATCGGACTTGGTAGGCATAGTGAACGACTACTGTCTATTCGTCATACTTTATTAGTATACACTACATTATTAGTATGTGCTGTTCTTAGCTCGTTAAAATACGTAAGAAATTAAATAAAAAAATCGAAATTCGTTAAGGCTATGGTGTCAGGTGGTAAACCGTGTAGGTACCATAAAAACAGAAAATCTCCAACTACGGATATAACTTCCAAATTAACGATTACTACAAATTTTTTTGAGGCCATCTTTTTTAAATACATTCATGTTTCAAAAACAAAAAAAATCAGAAAAACTTGTGTAAACTAAAGTGAATTTGTTCCTTCATTTAAAATACAAGTAGTATTTTATAATTTTATATTATAGGTATTTATAATTTTTATTTTTTAATACTGGACATCCACCTCACCCCCTGGTTGGGGCGTATCATATATAAAAAGGGGCGGATTTTTAAGAGTGCCCCGGTGCGCATAACCATAACCTAACCTGCATGAAAGTCACCGTAAATTGTGACTGTCTTAAATGTAACAAATTATCAGCCCCCCCCCCTTCAAGCAATATATCGTTTCTACGCAACAATACTGTATAGCACTAAGTATATAGGTACATACAAATAATTTAATTTATGTATAAAACTCGGCATTATCTAGGTACTTAAAAAGTTTTAAGTATGTTAGTAATTTTTAACGAAGTTAAACATCGCGAGTTACTTTTCTATAATAGGTAACTTCTAACTTGGGTTCCATCACTGGATGGCCTCCCTACTCATAATATTCATGTAAATAAAAAATTCTGTTTTATCTGTCATCATATTTTCCTATTATGCAAGATTGTTAATTTTCTGATGAAATAAAAAAAACTTCTGACTTAACGAGTTGAATTTTTCCATGATAATATGTAGTTACTAATCATTTGATTAATTTTATAGTCTCGTTAAGTACATTTTTTCTTTGTATAAAAATAGGATACACATTTAAAAAAAATGGTTATATAGTATGTAGTATGTACCTATAATTCCAAAGATATAAAATATATTTTGTTTTGTACAAATACATTTTTCTGTAGAAAAATAAAATATTAATCGTAAATAGATATTATTTATAAATATTATAATGTTATACCTATGTTAAATACTAAAAATTAAGTATTTATTTTAATTTGTAGGTTATCCAAGTGTTTAATGCATTTAGATGTCAATTATACTCAATAATAATTATAAATATATATAAATACAACTACCTAAACATAAATTATTTAACAAAATTAAAAAAAAATTGGTGAAAATGTCGAGGGTTTACGGTTATTAATTTTGGAGATACACCAAAAAATAAAATCGATTTCTTCAAAAATTGGTTTTGCGTAAAAATTACCAATTTTTTGTGTTTCTTGAAGCTTTCTAAAACTACTTTGAATTTTCAATTTTGACATCCCTAGAGTACTTACTAACTAGATTGATTTAATTTTCTATCTGAAATAATGTTAATTACGAAAATTAGAGCATTTTTACTACACAAAATATTGATGACAGATAGAAAAAAAACACACATCATTGTAAAATCAATTCATTCTTTCGCTCCACTCAGAATCTAAAAACAACTTTCAACATGGGCACATTTTTTTATATTAACTTCACTTAACGAGTTAAAAAATATGTGTTAATGTCCCCTGTCTGGGGTAGGTACTGCATTAATGTATTGTAGCGATAAATACCTTTTATGTAGGTACCTATTATCTACCTATTTAATATTTATTTCATAATTAAATGAATCCAGGACATTACCCTCCTCCCCAACTGTTTTCGGTGTAGTAGAACATTCCCCCCCCCCCACCCGATACATTTTTTATGAGGACATTTTAACCTGTGTTTAAAGTTCACTATATTTTAAATTATTATTATTATTATCATTTAATATAAAATTATTATTTTTTGCCTGATATCTAATATATTGTCTAAATACAGAATACATTTCTAAATATTTTCATAAATATAATAAATTATAGAAGTATATTTTTGATCAACTGAACTATAGGCACTTGAAACAATAAAAAGGTGGGCAAGTGGGTGTCGCTCTGCTGTACAGTAGGTTACAAGTGGGTCACTGTATAATGGATGGTATTAAATTTGAATTCAATGATATAATATCATTGTATAAGAAAAACGATTCTGAGCGGTGATGGTATGTCAGTCTATGTATAAGGCATATTATATACATATCTATGGTATTAAACAAAAAATTGACCTATAATAGGTACCTATAATAAATTCCAAATTAATCATATCACAATATCCATTAGATACTTATAACGCGTTATACATCAACAAAAACCGTGATACTATCATAGATATATAATAGTACACTTTAGAAGTTTCAAGTACCCACGAATAGTATTATTCAATCACAACAAAATAACTAAAATCGTAATTCTTGGTTTAAATATGAAATTTTGTCTAAATTTGAAATTAAAATGTCTGTAAAAAATAAGTGTGTTTATATATTTTTTAGATTTTTTGGTTACAGTATGAATTATTTAAGAGAATCTTTGTTTTAAATTTTCAACTCTTAGTTATAAAAACTGAACATTTTATAATTTTTTAATTCCAACGATTGATAATTTTCGAGATTTTGATAAATTTTGTCAAAATTCCAACTTTAAATGCTTATAAAAAAAAATCGTGCCTATGTATTTTTAATATTTTTCAACTGATATTGTAACAATATATCAGGAGCCTTGTATTAAATTTTTACACTTTTTGGCCCAACAGATAAAACTTTATTGATATTTATAGAAAAAAAAACTAAAAAAAATTGAAAGCTGTAAATGTCCATAAACAGCTCAAAAAGAGTCAAAATATTTTCAAAATTGTATGATGTATATGAAATGCTAATATAAACATTCAGTGAAATTTTCATGTATCTACAGTTATTCGTTTTTGAATTACAACAAAATAAGGAAATCGCTACATGAGAAATCGAGTGAAAATGTTGTAAAAATTTGAATTTCAAACGCTCATAAAAATTTAATTTGACTGTCCGGTAGAGATTTTTTATTGATAAAGGTAGATAATCTTATAAGGAATCTTGTGTTTCATTTTCAAATCTTAGATTTAAAAAGAAAAGTTTTTACGAATTCTTAACTCAAAATAATTTGCTAATTTTCGTGATTTTTCCATATTTTGTCAATTTTTGAACTTTAAATGCTTATAAAAAAAATTGTGACTAAGGATTTTTAATATTTTTCATCTGCCTTTGAAACAACATATTAGGAGCCTTCTATTAAATTTTCAAGCTTTCGCAACCAACAAATAAAATTTTATTGATATTTCTAGAAAAAAAACTAAAAAAAAATGAAAAATGAAAATGTCCCTAAACAGTTCCAAATAAATCAAAATATTTTGAAAATGTTATCGTGTATAGAAAATGCAAATATAAACAACCAGTGAAAATTTCATGTATCTACGGTCATTTGTTTTAAAGTTACACCAAAAACCAAATTCGATTTTTTGGAAAATCGATTTTGCGTAAAAATTCCCGTTTTTCCTTAATTTTTATGTTGTTTTTTCCCGGCGCTTGTGAAAACTACTGGAAAATGTTTACTTTTGACCCCCCAAAGTACCAACTAGATTCACTTTCCTATCAGAAAAGGTACTATTGAAGAAAATCGAAGCACTTTTACTGTCCCAAAACGTGATGACAGACACAAAAATATAAATAAAAATATAAAAAAAAACATACATCATTGTAAAACCAATACATTCATCGCTCCGCTCAGAATCTAAAATATAAATAAAAATATAAAAACATACATCATTGTAAAACCAATACATTCATCGCTCCGCTCAGAATCTAAAATTAATTAAAAGATATTTAATATTATTAAATGATTAACTTTAAAAAAAATGGGGGTGAAATGTTCAAAAAATGTAACATGGGGGAATATGTCCTACTACACCCAAAGCAGCCGGGGGGTGGGGGGAATGTCCATTTACCATATCCGATGACGTCATGACGAATCGTTACTGTTTTGATAGTTTTTGGTATATTTGCGTTATAATTGCGTGCCTGCGCGGCGCGAAATATTATATATATGTAGTTCGATTCTCATGGATCGGTCGGTGGTTGTTTGAACATGCAAATTTGAAATTATCTCAATAGGCCGGATTGATTGCACAGGAGTTAACCTACCAGAAGTTTCGCATATAAACACCGCGTTCGTTTTGTAAAGTTTCGGGAATTTCAACAAATACCGCCTCCAGTGAAGTGTGTGGCCAGGGGGGGGGGGGGTAGGTAGTAGACTGTGTACACCACCTATACGCGTTATTGAGCAGCGTACATATATAGTTATTTGTGTCGCGGCCATGTCGGCCAGGGACGGTGGCAAGCACAGGTGAAGTGGAGAAGTTGGTATAAGTATGCGACACAACTCGAAATTTGAACTTCAAGTGTGGCATGTTTTATCATCTGTTTTAGTTTGTAATTTATAATGTTATTTATTCACGGTCCATCGATTGTCGCGATGATAAGCGGTATATATAGTAGAGGCACTAGGTAGGTATATTAGATGTATTTGGTATTTGGTGCCTATATAATATGCATGCTTGGGTGCAATATCAATTAAATAACTGGTGGAGCTTAAGCCCACTATTGTTTCAGTTACGTAGTCTTATAATCATGGATTAAATGATGATGAGCAACATCACCTCTCCCCCACCCATTTAATAATGGCTCTGTAGTCTGTACCAGTTACTGAATACATATAATATTAATATTAGGTTTTAGGTATTAACATAAAATAATTAACTACAAATGGTATAAATTATGAAGTTGCTAATTTCAAAACTGTGGGTGCTAACGCTATAAGCACACCCAAGCCCCCCATCCTAATTTCACCGATATTATGCCACTACGCGAAATTCGACTAAAATACATATTATATAATATACATAGGTATGGTGTGTATTATTAGGTATCATACTATACCATCTACATTTATGTCCAATGTCCATCATTAAATTATATATCTCTTCGCCGGATGGACACCACACACCGAATAGGCATATAGTGTCATAGGGTACGATAATCTATAGTGTATTTTGGAAATTAAAGTTACAACTACGTACACTGCAGACTCGTTTATCGGTATTATGTGCGTTATAGGTAGCCTTGGGTACCGTGGTGAACCGCGTTTTTCAACAAAAAATTACCGTAGACAAATTATCGATCCAAGGCAGCATGTTATACGAAACATATCTTAAGCTCTATACGCGTACTGAAACGTATAATACAATATTTATTTTATTTCAACGGGTATAATTCACAATAGACCAGTAAGACTGTATACAGTACCTACTATCAATGGTAGAGATAATAAAAAAAAAACAGTTTTTATTAACAATCAATGAAAAACAAAATAAATTAATTAATAATATAACAGGTGGTAGTGATAATAATAATATTATAATAATGAGCAAGTTTAGAATGTTGCAGTTATAGGTTCATTATAAGAAATAAAGTAATAGGATATGCTTATGTTTTCAATATATTGATGTATTTTTTAAGTATATAGGTAGCCATATTGGTACACTATGCAGCTTTATACTGGCTTTAATAACATATTTTGGGGCCGAATTGATCCACATAGAATGCACATAATGTTACTTACATTATGTACTAATTTTCCATGTTTGAGAATATTTTGAACAATTTATGTGGATATAATCCCATTTTAGCTATTTTTATTTTTATTCGACATTATCAAAGTATTACCTAGGTATCATTAATTGTGTAATTTTTAATAATTATATTTTATAAAACAAAAAACCCCTTCTTGGCTTCTTATGTCTGTGTTGCATAGCCGCACAGCCACACAGCTGCACAACCGCACAGGTATTAATGCATATTTACCCATTGTTTTATTAAACTAGTTAAGTACCTACTATCTATACAATGCCATGTTCTAGACTAGATAAAAACTTTTAAAATGTTATATATTATATAAATATATAATGATATTGCATAGGAGCATATCAGAATATTTTGACAAAAAAATGTGAAACAATTATTACCAGTTATTTACAAGTACCTTAACCTAAGACCTACCTTGGTCTTTGCTATAATTTTTTCTATATTTTATGAATTCGAAAATAAGCATATTTAGTGAAATATTTCAAAATGATTTATTGGATGATTTGAACGAATAGGTACTGCTAATGAGTCTAATATAATTTCAAAAATTAAATAACTTAATAACTTAATCAAAAATTCAAAAAATTGTTTTCGCAGATGACTTTCCTTACATACGAGTCTCGTTACAGTTTACACTATCGGCCGGTGTGTGGTGCTCGCGTGCTCCGACTACTTCAAATCGACCGGCGTGCTGACGCCGCAAGACGTGGCCGTTAAGTGCGTCAAGAAACGAGATAGGAAACGGAAAACCGTGTTGTACCGACAGCGAGAGGCTCACCCATCGTTCAAGAGGAAAATCAAAAAGAAATCGTTAGCATTGAAACGGGTGGATATCAAAGACTCGTTTCGCAGCACTCTAACGGCCTCGCGACGCCCGTCCGACGACCCTAACAGGGTGATCAGGCGAAACATGCGTTTCGTGGACTTGTCGAAAACCGTCGACAATCGGAGGTCTTCGATCGCTGCTGACCGAGAGAATTCCGCCGCCCCACACGCATTTTCGATCATAAACGTCAATGACATCATACGAGACACGGACGCATTGCTCAAGTTCTGACGTGCTGGCGGCTCGTGACGGTATTACAGGGCCGTAGATAGGAATTTTCTATGGGGAGGGTCCAGTTCCATAGACAGGAAATTTATGAAGGTTATCATAAGACATTATATTAAATTGAACATCAAAATTGTTATATATTTTAGGATAACACCAAGTCAATTTTTCACGGCTTCTTAGCCATTTAATCCAATATTGCATCTGGTGTGATGATGATATTTCGATAATAGCTTAATAGTACCAATACATTAAGACGATCATGTTTCACAAACACTTCAATAAATAAAATGAAATCAGAAGTAATTTTTTATACATACCTCTTTCATACTGTTTCTGAGGTAGGTATTTATTCTTTTTAAGCCAGAAAAAGACATATTAGTCAAACATATATTATATTGTTACTAACATATTACTATCACTAATAACTTTTATAACTAAGTGCTTTTGCTCATCAGTCAAACTACCATTAGCATTTACAAATAACCCAAAATCATTATTTCAAGGATCAACAACCTTTAAAAAAGCTTAGATATTAGGCAACATGCATTGGCAAGCTAAGAAAGTAAACTAATAAGCTTTAGCTATTATTTAAGAAAATAGAAATGCAATACAAATGTTGTTTCAGATTTAGATAGATAGAAAGCTGAATAGTCACTAGACATAAATATGCAATATATGTATGCAGTATGTTCAAAAACAATTCATTTATAAAATAAAGAGTTTTTTTCCAATTAAATTTTGAATTGTCACTGATTTAGTAATATCAACGCATATCAACTTATCGTTTAAAACGAATGTTAAATTAATAATAACTAAAACTAATAATAATTATACTGTATAATAGTAAATTATTTTAACCAATTTTTAAAAACTACTTACTTTATTTTGATCAATACCAATAGGTAAATAACTTGTGATTTTTGTGTGACGATTTTTTGAAGTATTTGAATGGATTATAAATTTATAATTATACACTTTCTAAATATTTTATTAAAAAAACTAACGATTTTAAGACACTCTTCGTAGTTTGTGGATCTGTAAATACAAAATTGTGACTGATATCAGTGATATCAGTTTGACCGGGAGAACTCTTATCAAGTATCACAATGCAGTTGCACTACACGCGCTATACTACTTAAGTATAAATTTACTATAATAATATATTAAGTATTTATTCAGTTAAAAAAAATAAACATTTTAAATTTTAGAATAAACTAGACATTTTTTAATTTTCTACTTTGTAGAGCCGTAGCTACCGTAGCTTATATAAATATTTATAATCATAGACTTATAGAAATTGACGGAACATTTACGTAGTATTACCAAACGGAGATGGCTTGAATTTATATTAATTATCATAAGAGTGTGAGCAATGGAAATACTATCCCAAAGATGGCCACTGTGGCCACATTGTTGGTCCTCGTAACAAGCTCCGCACGAGCTATACTTGCACGCGTTATCATATATAATTTTCCGTCTATTTTTAGAAGGTTATAATATGAGCATATCCTTCTGTAGTGCTATACAACATGTCATGTAGGTACCTAAATCTGCGGCGTCGGCACCGCAGGAGGGTGTTGGGACTTGGGAGGAGGGCCTTATTTCAGACGTCCTTACCGAATTTTCACTGACGTGAGCATTTTCCTGTTTTTTTTAAAGACACTTCGAACGTTTTCTTCGTAATATCTCTACAGGATACCTACGGCGACGTCAGCACATGTCTGAATGGGGTGTCGACGGGGACTCTCCCGAAGTATTTTTTTTATATAATATATATTTAGTTTTGGTTAAGTTGTAATAAATTAAACTGTTTCTTTTTTCAATATTTTCAGTATTTTTCCGTATTACGGCTAACTAACCGTTGTATATCGTATATGTTAGTTATGTACCTAATGTGATAATTACTAAATACTTCGCACTCCTAGAACAAGACTGCCACAACTCAAAATTCATGAATTTTGAGTTATGACTACTTTTGGATAGAGAAAAATAAGCTCTTTTAAATGCAAGAACGCCACATTTAATATCATTTTTCATTTAGCCACTATAGAGATGTGTTTGTATTGAATTATTTAAATATTGGTTAATTTTCACTGCAAGAGAGCCATATTTACTTTATGTCAGTATACTTATTTTTATTTATCCAAATTATTACTGAAGTCAAAATTCAAGACTGCCTTATTTCGACTTGTGGCGTTCTTGCACTGAATAAAAACTAATTATCGTGTAATATGTTGAGTGCAAAACAGCAATATTTAGAGTTGTGGCAGTATTGCATTTTATAATTTGTGATAGTGCAGCCACAACACGAATTATGACTCTATTGTATTTATAAATAGAATAGCTTTTCGTTTTGCACCAAATTCTCATATAGTCGCATCTCAAAATATGGCAGTCTTGCATTTACTTAAAAAATTGTAAATGGCCACAAGTCTAAATTTTTGGGTTTAAGAGTGAATTTCAAAATATTTGAAAAATTAATATTGTAAAGTATGGTTGTAAGTATTTAAGTGTTAAATTTCAAACGCATAAGTAAAAAATTCATTAAAATATCTTAAGTCCAAACTTCAAATTGATTTTTCTCAAAACTATAAATTTTGAGTTGTGACAGTCTTGTTCTAGGAGTGCGACTTGTATTATACAATTTACAAATACGAGTTTATTTTGTAAACCATTATTATAAACATTATAATTATTCTGTATAAATATTTTCAGAGTCTTAAAACTCGCCTCAATCAGAAACGTTGAATCCACCACTGACTTTAATGTAATAACATAGTTATCCATTTTGTACCGAGATAACGATAACGACAGTTATTTGTAATGATTCTTCCTCCAACATCGTTCTTGTGGTTTTTCATGATTATAAAATGTATAGTATAATATGTCACACACACACTTAGTGAAACCGATATTTTCATGAAGTGGACGTCCATACAAATTTTTATTATTATTAGGTATACATTTTTATATAAAATATATAGAACAATTTTATCCGAATAGTGTAATATTTTTAATTTAATCGTTGATACTTTAATATTTTACCTACATTTTTATAGGTAGCTTAAAAAAAAATAAAAATAAATTATTTTCCCATGCTATAATTTTTAATACATTGTTAATTATATAATAAACTATACAGGTAACAATATTTTTTTGTTTATATTTTTATTCCCCCTGACCCTTTTCATGTTTAACTCAAATTTACTTTGTGGTTTGTGTAGGTGCATCATTTAATCGAAAATTGGTTCCAAAAATCATTCATTATTATATTATGTAAGTATAACAGTTTTAAGGGAAAATATATAATGTAAGAGTCTTAATATAAGAAGATAAAATCCCATGAAAAAGTATTAATGTTTATATTCTATAATGAATGATGAAAATGTAATACCAATTAACACCATTGGTAAACAACAATGGTCGGGTCAGTAGGACCAGAATCTAGATGGTTTTTCGTGTTCTTGACAATCATAAAAACTAACTGTTTTTCAAACAACAATATATTTTCAATAAAAGGAAAAACAATGTTATGAAATAGAACGTCATTGTTATTATTCATCGTCTTCTTGAAATAAAATAAAAAATATGTACTATAACAAAGATGCGATGTTATAATATATTAATACTTTTTAATACTTTAAACAATAATACTTTATAAATAAGCTTAAAAGGAAAATTAATTTCCAATTCCAAATCTTAATGGAGACTTAAGACAAATCATAAAAATAGAAAATAATATTTTATTTTAGTCTTATCTTATTTAATATTAATAATGTAGGTATTTTATGTTGTATACTTAGCCTGTAGGATACAATATACAATTTCTAGAATACATAATTTCCTAGATAAGTGTACACCATCACGGAAAAAAACAGTTGTTTGTACTATAAAAATAGTAGGATTGACTGCACATTATAATTGCTATAGGAATAGCTATAAGGTTAGTCAGATTTACTAAAATAAGTATCATAGTCAAGTTATTATAGTTATTCGAACTAAAATATATTTTAACTAATTTTTTAGTAATTCAAACATTAAAAACTGCGTTAACTATAAAATATAGTAAACTTTACCATAACAAATAAATATATTTATGTAGACATATTAAGTAAATCATTTTAGTTATTTTACCTATTAAATAGATATATTTACTATAATTTGTTTAACTATAATATTATGGTCATTTTTTTTTGTCTGTGCATTTACACCTATAATTATAAAACAGTTATGTTTTAGGCTATATACCAAAAATACATAATATTATATTGTCTCTCAGATAAGCTTAACGCCCTCGTAACTACAATTTTTGTTTTTCTACTTGATTCTTATATACTAATCCCGTAGAATGTGGGTGGGGGAATAGTGACAAAGGTCCGCGCGAGTCGGTAAGCTATGAGTGGGATCAAGATACGTAGGCCAAAAAATATCTGCCCTCTTGGGAATATTTTTATGTTACGTGCCTGGGCTTTCAAATAAGTAAGGGACTGCAGTAACGAATATCAAAAATTCTACTTGTGATTCCTTGTGGTATAAAAAATAAAATATAACAATAAAGGTTAGGTACTTAGCAACAGAAAAAAAGTAGTGCTTTGTCTTTGAAGTGTATATAAATCTAATCACTATCATAATACATATATACAGCAATAGTTATCAAAGTAGGAACCTAATTGAATTGGTCCCTAAATATAAGTAACTAATCAATACCCAAAACTGTAACTTTTGAATTGGCTCTAATAATAATTTACTATTAATTATTTGCATCGCGGCAACTATATGGCCATTAGAATTTTGTAGGGGGGTGAGGAAACACTCGTGTATGTAGGTCGAGGATCGTTACGAAAAACAAGGTGGTCATCCATCCGGTAACTAGCGACACCTGCTAATGCTTAACCTCAGAACAATTTAATAACTGAGGCCAACTACCGAGGCCACCCAGGCCCCTTTAATAATCTTATAAACAAACAAAAAAAGGCGGGTAAGTGGATGTCGCTCTACTGTAC